AATAAGAGCAAAAAAAAAAAAAGAACAATAAGAGCTATTCTTAATACCTTACTGACACTGCCTAGAAGCAGTTGACAAGAAGCTTCCTCATACTTCCAGTAATATACTTTGGATTTCAGGGAGTCTTATGGCCATTTTTTTTTTTTGTGCCATTTGTTATAAAACATTAAGATTTCTATTCAGAGTATCACTAAAAACTACCATCTATCAAATAACTACTTTGGGTGAAACTCTTCATGCTGTATAGGCATCTACAGAACACCAGAAAAGTTCTTAGAGTTCAACAAATACTACATAATATATACTGTGTTCATTATCCTGTGGATACAACTGCAAATAGGTAGTACATGTTCAGCATTGAGGATTTGGAAGAAAACAGACTAACCAGATGCTTCCTTTGTTGTACTTTGAAAAAAACTATACTTTAATGAGAGATATTATGGGAGGAGAAACTCTCAACAAAATAACACAAAGCTGTCTTTTGTGTACCGTGCTTTTTGTATGTGTGGCATCATATTCAACAAGAAACAAGCTTAGCATGTTCAATGAGCCCGTCTAGCAGGCAAGAAGACTGAACACAGAGGATTTCTTATAGCCATTTTGCATCAGTTCTTCCTATGTTCATCAGTGTCTTCATGGGCCATGTCTGAAATCATCCTGAGTCATATGTTCCATTTTTATCATTGATGCTTTTTCCCAAAAATGGGCTTTCTTCCTATGCACTTAGTTTAGACCTACACCTCCTGAGAGAAAATGTCAATTAAAAACACCCAAACAAAACCCACTGCCCTTAAAGTTGATTCAGATCCACAGTGACCCTATAGGACACAGCAGAACAACTCCATGAAGTTTCAGGCTGCTGTAAATTTTCATTGAAGCTCTCTTTTTCCCAATCTTTTGGTTACCAGCCATATGCTTGCTTAGACTACTGCAGCTTCCAAAAGCAAACCCGAGCCCACTGCCAGAGTCAATTTCAACTCACACCACCTCATTATCTATGGTTCCCAAGGTTGTAAATCCTTCCTGCAGCAGCCAGCCTCATCTTTCTTCTGAAGAGCAGCTGGAGGATTTGAACCACCAACCTTGTAAGTAGTCCAACGATTACCTGCCAACACCACCAGAGCTGCTTCTCAAAAACGCAAACTCACCGCCATCAAGTGGATTTCAATTCATAGCAAATCTATAGGACTTCCCCTGTGGGATTCCCACACTGTAATTCTTTACCGAAGCAGAAAACCTCATTTTTCTCCCACAGAGCAACTGGCGGTTGCTTAAGAGGTTTTCATTTTCCCAGCTGAAAACAAAGGAAGGGGCTCCCCTCCTTTTTCTTTCTCGGAATCTTGGGCTTTCTGAAAAGTATGTAAATCAAGGATGTTTCCTCTCAGACCAGGGAGCCATTTCTTTTAAAATGTAGACTCAAGAAAGCTTAAACCCCTAAACCTGCATTTCCCCAGAAAGAGATTAGCATAACTTTGGGTTCACTGTATTAGGAAATTAAGTTGCCTGGGTGGAACAATGGATAAACTGGCTCAAGTGCTACCCAAAAGATCAGTGTTTCTTGCCCACCAGCGGCTCTGAGGGGAAAAGTATGCGGCTATTGGCTCCGGTGAAATGCATTCTGGGCTTAATGTTTATTCAACAATAAAAATCTGGGTTGGGTGTCGATTTTGTTTTCAGTCACCTTTTTCCCAACTGCCACTAGCCAGCCACAGGTGGCTGGTGAAAATTTAAATTAAAGGTGAATAAAATCCAAAATCCAGCTCCTCAGCGATATTTCAAGTGCTCAACAACCATGCGTTGGCTACCTTCCTAGGTGCAGGCACAAACATTTTCATCACCACAGGGAGTTCGAATGCACAGTGCTGGCGACACAGTTATCAATGGACCTCACCACACCGCACTTACTTCTTCGTTCCCACGCTCTTCCTGGGGCTCTTCTGCGGCTTAAAGGATGTGCGTCCTGGAGTCTAGCAAATCACAAGCACACGAGTGAGTGCCACGGATCTTGAAACCCTGACCACAAAAAGTCGAACCCACCAGTGCCCGGGAAAAACGGAAGCTCTCCTGGAGCAACTATCTCAAAACGGAAGAAAGCAGTACTTTTTACTGGGGGAAAAAAATCTACGGTCCTGTTTCCTATGCAGTGACGGGGAAGTAACAATGGCCAAAGCCTCCCTCTCGCCCCATTCTCCAAGACCAAATAAAAAGCTCTAAAAGGGGAGACGAAAAAGGAAGACAACGAATGTGGGAGGCACTGGGGACGTACAAGCAATAAAACTAACCGCAACCTGGGGAGAAACTATATCCAAGGGGGTGGGGAAGAGACAGCGCAAAGTGGGGACCCGAAAAAAAAAAGGGGGGGGACAGGTGGGTATGACCTAGAAGGGTGGGGCCTAGGATGGGCTCTGATAAAAATCAACTCTGGGCATGGGACAAAAGCAAGGGACCGCGTGTTCCAGGCTCGAGCGCGCTACCCTTAAAGCATACGGTCGAACCAAGAAACTCACGGCATGTATTGCACCGAATCTGGAAGACATCACTCCCTCTCCACGCCTAACAAATTCACCAAGGGGCTCCGGCCAGACCAACGCCACTTCCGCTCGGCTCTGCTTGGCTCGGCCCGGCTCGCCTCGCCTCTGCTCTCCCGGA